TTTGCTCAGGATTCATCTGTGTGACATGATGCAAACTATGGTTCTCGTCCACAAATTGTTTGCTCAGGATTCATCTGTGTGACATGATGCGAACTATGGTTCTCGTCCACAAGTTGTTTTGGTCAGGATTTATCAGTGTAGTAACTGCAGTTACATGATGCAAACTATGGTTCCCTTCCACCTCCCTTCCACCTAAAGGCAGACTGACACCATGCTTGAGTATCTCAATATCCATACACACCCCAAAACTGCCATTCTCCTGACTCTACCTATCTGTTAGTTCAAAATGGAAAAAAGTGACCGTTGCCCCTGAAACCCATCTTGAACACCAATCGGGTCGTTTGGCCCTCTAATTCTGATCGGATGTGGCTACCTCACCTTTATGCTGGAATGATCTACCATTGTTGGCTGTTGTTGGGTGGTCGTCTGCATGGCCTGGTTTTGAAGTTTCGGAAACCCCAAAGAGTAGGTCAGCAATGGGCTTTTGTTTGCCACGTTCGTAAGTGGCAAGGCTAGTCGGTCTTGATTTTACTAGATGACCTGCTGTGGCTTTGCCTGCAAGAGAAGGAGAGTGATCAGCAGAACCCTGAGTGCTTGTTGTGCTCTTGATTCTTCTTTTTCTGTGTGCACGTGTGTCCATGTGTGTGTGTGTGTGTGTGTGTGTGTGTGTGTGTGTGTGTGTGTGTGTCTGCCATAGATAGATAGAGAGATAGATATATAGATAGATAGATAGATGGTTGGATAGATAGATTCTCTCTCTCTCACCCCCCCCAAGTATGACTGTAGTGTGTTCAAACTGGATTCTCTCTCTCTCTCCTGCAGATGGATAAATTAGATTATATTATTAGAGCAACTAAATTAAATTGAGTGAAGTGGTGGGCATTATTGAACGATTATTCATGGCGGAGAGCCGTATGATGGGAAACTATCACATGCAGTTCGGAGGGCGGGAAAATAAACTCCTGACCCCTATCTATGATAAGTAATGGAGTTCTTGGATTTATTGTTGGGGGTCGAGATGGGTCCCTTGCATGGCAACATGAGAGTTCAATCACTTCAGTATATGCTGGAAACGCCTTAGAGTTGGAAGTTCCTTCAATGAAACAATCTTCCAAATTCATTGGTCAATCAGCAGGTTCGCCATAGTTCACAGCGATGACTCACCCGAAGAGGAAGGAGCCTCAGTGACTACAAGCAAAGCAGACCGAATAGCTCGCGAGCCTTTTCCGCTCTAGATTAGATAGCTTATATTTAGATCAGGTTCAATTAGAAAACATCAGATAAGATGAGATTAGATTAGATAAGATTACTTTAAGGATTGGATTACACAAGGTTGGATTACACAAGGTTGGATTACACAAGGTTGGATTGATTAGTTTAAGATAAGATCAGACTAAATGTGATTAGATTATAGATAAATATTAGATTTGCTTGGATTGGATAAGATTAGATCAGATTGGATCAGATTAAGATTAGATGTATTAGATTAGGTTATTTAGGTTTATGCATTCACACTCCGATTATTCACACTTGTCTTGCATGCAAACAGCGATACAGCAACTGGCGACATGCGCCCTGACAGTACTTAAGATATCGTAACCAGATATGAGTTTTCTTCAACTGGCTATGGCGACTGGGCGCCCACACAACTCACTGTTCGCACTCTGGATCACCCTGGATGTCCCACACGCAACACTCAGTATCATACGCAACACACACACACGCTATG